ACAAATAAAAGATAGAACTAAAAAATTACAATAATTGTTCTACAACGAAAATAATAATTTATTATTTCACGTAGCTATATTGATAGCTTACTTTTTTCATACATAACTTTAAATGTTTCAAGAAAGCGAACACCTCTAATAATTGTCATAAAAATCTAATGTGTTTCTAAATATAAAAGCTAAAAGAACTAGTAGAAATGAGTAATGTAATTTACCTATTCCATACCTCTTCCATCCCATTAATAAACAACTTTATGGCTTTCCCGGAAAATCATCGATGAAATTTTATCATGTACCTAAACTTACTATTCAAAAATTGTTATATATACATACGTTATAAATTATGATTTTAAAAAATGTTATAATCAAATTCTTGAATTTGTAAATTATTTTTTATATTTATCGAATTTTTAGGGATTATGTACGAATTTAATGAATTATGTATCTAAAATATTTTATAATCCAAATTCTGTATCTGAAAAAAAAGGCTATAATTATGTGACTGAAAAACCTTTATATAAAATATTTAGTTAAATTAGAGACATTTTTTATATTCTATCACATTTTAAGATATGTTACATGGGTACTTGCAGAAATAGATCAGATTTACAACAAATAGACGGCTCATGGGGTTCTTGGACATCTTGGTCCAATTGTTCAGAGTCAATGGCTATTAGGAGTAGAAAATGCGACAGTCCAGAGTAATGGAATATTTATTTATGTCATATTATAAAAATACAAAAAAAATGTAAATATTTTTATATTTCATATCAATTATTAGACCTGAGTTCGGTGGGCGTCACTGCCCAGGTGACAGAGTAGAGGACAAAATTTGCGCAAATTCGGTAATAATTCTCCCAATATATTCATGTTATCTTCATTATTTTCAAAACATCATATATCTTACTTTAAAAAACAAATATATTAATTTTTTTAGATCAGCAGTGATAATGAAAGAAACCAAGCTAAGTGTACATCTCACAATAACATTTCTATGTATAATCCAATAGGTATATTATAATCATTGTGTATTATATTCAGATTTTAAAATCTAACCCAGTACCCCCAAGCTATTAGAACCGCTTAAAATCTAAGAAATGGAGCATGATCAGTTACCTTAAAATATATAGGAATAGAAATTATTTTCAAAATTTTTATAAGTCGTGATTAGTTATCACTTTTTTCAATTGCTTTTTATTAATTTATTATATATCTGACCACTTATAAAATAAAATATTGAGGCAGATACTAGACCATGTGTTCTACTTTGCTATATTCCAACCGAATTTACTAACAAGGAAATTGGAAATGTTGCCTCTACAACTCTAGTTAGAAAGGAAAACTCTTTAGATATATGTGCAGGAAACACTCCTATAGTAAATCTAACTTTTGTAATATTTAGCAAACAAATAACAGGACTTTATATTTTTTATTTGTGTTCAGGAAGGAGTCATAATTGTAATTTTTATTTTTGGTTATGGAAGAAAAATATACGCAGTTCAAAAATGTTATTAAGCTTAGAAATTTTGAAAATATATGTGTTAAAAAAAATATGCTTCATTAGATAATATTTATCATCAATTGATGTACATGATTCATATTTGTATAAATTATCATTTTAAGTTTCCAAATGTGCCGTTTCAAACTTGTTTAGTAGGAATTTAAAAAAAAATAGATTATTGGTGGAAGTTTGAAATGGTACTTTCTAAGTTTATAATAGTATATTACTATTTTACAGTTTTATTATTAATGGGACAATATATTTTATTTTCCGTTTTATTTAGTGCTGTAAAGTAACGGCAATAAAGTTATACTAACGGCGTTCCGTTTTTCGTAGAAAAGGAACGCTATTCGTCACCTTCTTCTATAGGTAACGAGAGGTTGACACGTTATTTTGCTAATTCTTTCGTGCCTAACATATCTGTATCTGTCTACGAGACAATGAAGTGGATGTCTAGCTTTAGAATAAGCCGTTCCTAAACATTTGTAGGATAGAGATATGTCTAAACCATGCATTATAGCTAAAGCTTATTTAAATTTCTTATTTTACATGTGCGGATAAGCTTCTAACCATTCATGGTGTGATTTATTTATTACCAGTGAACGAAGGTACTCTGCTATGCGTTATTGAATGAAAGTGGATGATCGACGGAGGGTGACATAATTGGAGCAATTCTGGAAATTGAAAGTGATATGAATTTTAAAAAGATGAACATTTTATAATATGAATAAACGAATGCAGCAAAAAAGCAAATACCCATTTTATAGAGGTCTTTCACAAATCCCCCAAAAATTATAATCTGCTCTATTTTTGAACTACAGTTATCCAATTTATCAAGCCATTTTATCATAGTAGTTTATCGGAATTTGATTGGGATTTAAATTTATGTGAAATTATGCAAGAGTCCAAATTGTCAAGAGCCCAAATTAGATAGATATTTTAGTTATGATAAAAACAGTCACAAAATGCTTATGATCTGTGCCATATTCCTATCTTAATTTTAAAAAATGTATTTAAAATGAGCATTCTAAAAAATATACTTGAACTTACATTTAAAAAATAAAAATATTTCAAAGGTTATCCAATGAAAAATGGGAATACATGTTCTAGTAATATAGAAAAATAATTATGCGTATTTGTTTTAGCAATTAATCGTTTCATCTGCATTATCTCAGAATTTATTTTTGAATTTGAACTCAAAAAAAAATATAAAATCTCATGAAAATTACAAATTTTTTTAAACAAAATTTTCTGATGATACCATTACAAAATATAAATTTATATATATTTTTTTTAAATTTAGCCCGTAGGTTGTGATGACGTACTATATTCAACTGCTAAATGGGATAATTGCGGCGTATGTGAAGGAGATAATTCTACATGTGTTTCTTTTGTGGAAACAAATACTTCCAATCTTTATAGTAAAAATAAATAATTTTTTTAATTTAAACTGTTCTCACTATCACGCCTGAAATATTTTGCCCTCGGAGATATGGTAAAATGCATGATTTTAATTATTTGCTTTCAATCTCACACTGTGTTAATGAAGGTGCAGATTTAAATTAGAATAAGAGTGTAGAAGTCAATGTTATACAACACTGATTGTAAGAAATATAAAAATATTTTACACATGGAAAGAAGAGAGGAAGGTTTATGTAAAGGCATATTAAAATAAAGTTTACGGTAAAGCAAGATTGGCATTATTTTATATATCTTGTTTAAGTTTAGAAGAAGATTTTCGCTATAATATTTGGGTCAAATTTATACTTCAAGGCATATGTTAATATATAATATTACACAGAGAACAGAGAAGGTTTAATAATTTTTGGCGCTCTTTGTAACAAGAAACCTCTTAATCAGGCGGGTAAATATTTTAATAGATACCCCCTCCCTCATTCTAAAATTATTGATAGGAACAGGTCTCAGTCCTGGTCTGGTTTAGTTTAACATCAAATAAATTGCACATTATTTGCCAAATCCAAACTTGCTTCTAAATAAATAGGTACATTTTTCATAGATATAACATAAGCCTTAAACTGATTTAAATATTTTTTTTATTATTTATTACCAATTATCAGTCTTCAACCATTATCCGAATAACCCAGACACAGCGTTTACATGACAGGATTTTTACGGGATCTCCTTTGAAAAATCCAAACATATCCTCCCAAAACAAAATTACAGCCTTCGGCTGAGACATTTCAAATTATTAATTACTCCTTTATTAAAAAGAATAACTTAAATTGTTAATGCTCTACTACCAAGTATCAAATAAAAAAGTTATTTTTTAGAACATGAATTCCAATTAACAACCTCATTTACACTGAATGCACCATTATTTTATATTGTTTGGCATGAATATGAGAGTTTTCTGAAGAATGTCTAACCCTTTTATTACATTTAAGAGTATAGCAGAAAGTTACAACTAAAATAACAAATATATGGATTTGGTCTATGTTTATCAACATCATTGTATTTATATTATAATAGGACTATAATAAAAGATGTTAATCTTTTCAGAAATATTTGCACTATTTCATCTAAAAATTAAAAATATACCGTATCCAATAAATTTATCATACTTCTAGTCTACCCTTCTTAAAAGCTTACCTCCAAACCCCATCAAGGAAGGAAACTATTCCTAGCCCCCCCCCGCTTATTTAAATGCTGGCCGGGCATAATCATGAAACTAATAATATCAAATTTAAGAATCTCTTCGCCTTTTTACTTTTGCTAACACTCATTTGTGACGCAACAATATAGAAATGTGAGACACGAATAAAAATGCACTCATTATATAGCATAGTAAACATATGCCATCTGATACCTTCAGCAGTAATATCTGTCATTAATACTTTACCACCAAAATGTTATTCCGTTGGCTCTGAATAATCAATACTATCTCTATCTTGGCTCTGAATATTTAAGACTATCTCTATCTTGGCTCTGAATATTTAAGACTATCTCTATCTTGGCTCTGAATATTTAAGACTATCTCTATCTTGGCTCTGAATATTTAAGACTATCTCTATCTTGGCTCTGAATATTTAAGACTATCTCTATCTTGGCTCACCAATTAAAATTAATTTGAACTACTCTGTTATCATTAATATTACCAAATTCCTCAGTATATTTCATATACTTAAGAGTGAATTTGTAAATACATGTTTACTAAGGTCCAACATTCTTATTGAGTTAATATTATATAATTCCTAAATGGATAAAAAAACATGATTTAGTCTTCCTTCTTGTTCCTAATAACCTTTCCAGTTAGATTTTGTTGTTCAAGGCAGTTTAATAGAGGTAAGTATGATAAAACTTATATTAATATATATATATATGAAGCTCACAAACCGATAAACTTTGTATTATTCAAAATTTTTAATGGTTTGAAAATCGACAAATTTTTACGATACACATAATTTATTATCTTTTCATTATTACTTTTATGAATGCAGATATTACCGAAATAGCGAATTTAAGTCTAAACACAACCTACTTGTACTTTAGACTTGAAAAAGAATATAATGAAGGGTCCACAGAACCCAGATCTATTATTGGTAATAATTTTTTAGCATTTTTTTTCTCTCATTTTAATTTTTTTGATTCACAAGATCCATATATTGTTATTTTTTTGTGTGATGTATATCTGACATTGTCATAAGGATAGTGTTATTAAACCGCTCGTTTTCATGCGATTTTTAAAAACGGCTTATTCGATATTTTAGCCAGGCCTAAGCCTCAAGATTTCAATAATATATGTCTAAGACACCTTCCTTCTATTAGCAAAATCTTCAGTCTTGGGCAATATTTTTCTGAATAAAGTAATGAGTTAGACGTTTTTAACGGCTCAAAACGAAGCCTTTAAACATTACTACATAAGAATGTGTTTTTTATAATTAAAATACATTTTTATTTTAATAAGATCTTATTTTATAAATTAAAATCGTTTATTAATAAAATAAAAATATGTATACATGTAAATATATATCCAAATGATATACGTTGTTATATATATTATTTAATAATCTATATAAGTGGACTTCTTCTAAGTCGATTGATTTTGTGGTAATGCATTTAGATTAAATCAAAAATGCAGATCATATAATCTGATCTACAATATATTCGAGTCATCTACTGTAGAATGCATTTATAGAAATTATTAGTCCGTTAAACTAGTGTATTAATGGAACTTATTAGTAATGTTAAAAGAATATATTTGAGTCGAGAATATTTTAAAACCTCTAACTCAATATTTTATTTCTCTAATAAATAATTCAAGCCTTTGTACCATTTATGAGTCATCATCTTAAGGCTTGAGTCATGAACTGACTATATATTTCTGTTTTTATGTATCTTATTAGTATATGAGAATTGTTTTTTTAAAATTATATTATTGGGTCTGTGTTTTTTTTCAATAATTATATTTACGAATTCCTTAGCTTTAATACGGAATGGAACGACTTACAGTGGAACTCAGATAAATGAGCTTACCGATTTAACCTACGATGTAACTAGGCAAAGAGAAATAGTGCGTTCGACAGCATTGATAGCTCCTCTCATAATAAAAGTCAATCATATTTTTTTTATCAAATACATTATAAATATGTTATGTATCTAAAAAAAAATTTATTTGGTTGATAATTCCCTTCTTCCTTACTTCTTTCCTTCCTTCCCTTCCCTTCCCTTCATTTCTTTCTTCCTTCCTTCCTTCCTTCCTTCCTTCCTTCCTTCCTTCCTTCCTTCCTTCCTTCCTTCCTTCCTACCTTCCTTCCTTCCTTCCTTCCTTCCTTCCTTCCTTCCTTCCTTCCTTCCTTCCTTCCTTCCTTCCTTCCTTCCTTCCTTCCTTCCTTCCTTCCTTCCTTCCTTCCTTCCTTCCTTCCTTCCTTCCTTCCTTCCTTCCTTCCTTCCTTCCTTCCTTCCTTCCTTCCTTCCTTCCTTCCTTCCTTCCTTCCTTCCTTCCTTCCTTCCTTCCTTCCTTCCTTCCTTCCTTCCTTCCTTCCTTCCTTCCTTCCTTCCTTCCTTCCTTCCTTCCTTCCTTCCTTCCTTCCTTTCTTCCTTCCTTCCCTCCCTCCCTCCCTTTCCTACCCTTCATTTCCTTTCTTCCTTTCACTTTCAAATAAAAAAATAAAATGTTTACATATTGGAAAATTCTATTCGGGCCCTTTATTCAAACGTATTTTTCTTTGAATTATTTACTTGATTTGTATACATCTTCTTTGATTGCATATAGATAATTTATATAATTTATATGTTAAATGGAACAAAAAATTTGCCTTCTCACCTCAACTCAATGTATGATTTTATATTTTCTGCGGAATTTTCACTATTTTAAACATAAATAAATATCGTATCAAATATATATCTAAACTAATCAATGCTTTAAATTTTTTTTATACTCATAATATAACAGATTAAAAAGAGCATAGATACTGAAGAAAACTTTACGGCAACATACAAATTGAGATATGCTACTCCTATATAAAATCTAATTAAATACTTATTATACTAACCATATTTTATTCTTTGTCTAAATTACAAATTTAGTTTATTTATTATACATTGGTTACATTACATATACGAATATTATAGGGCTAAATTCATTATGATTTTTTAAATTATACATAGGAAGATATCTTTCATGGCTTTAAATTCATCTTTATACTTTTTTAAATTAAAAATTAATAGGTGTGCAGGGATTCTAAATATATTTTTTATTAAAATCAAAATAAAATTTATGCATTCTTCTATATCTGAAACTGAAGTCAAAATGAATATATGATAATAAAAATATTGTGATATTCAAATGAATAATATAATAAAATAAATGTATTAAGATAGACTATGTAATGCCATTAACAATTTTATTATAAAATAAGGTAAACCAAAATTAGAATTATTAAGGGGAAGTAATGCCGATGTCTGTAATCACCCAGGCCCCTGGTTGAACTCCTAAACTTAGTAATTGCTTAAAAGAAGGTGAGAAGTGATAGTGGGTGGAGAGAAACTCAACCAATTTTTAATTAATAAATTAGGGGTCTCCGGAATTTTTCTTAGTTCTCCAGACTCCCGTACTTGGCCAGCTTTTATCAGACCTTCAGCCGGGTTTCCTTAGCCTATATATAGCTAGAAAATATTTTTATAGGATATAAGTTTTATTTTAATGAAAAAAAAAACAATTTGTTGTTATTCAGTAATAAGTAATTAATAGTAATTAAAGATTTATATAACTTGCCTTGGGCTTATATTGCATTTTCCCATTTCTTAAATAATATTTTTGTTACATCACTTTTTCCAAAAATTATTTTAGTCATCAGTTTTAGTTTAAAAAATTATTAACTTTTCGTATTCTTTCTTTCAAATTATTGTTTAAGGAATGTGAATACATTTTTGGGGAGACATGGAGTATGTGAGAAGGGCTAAATGGTATATTTTTTATAAGCTTAAATGATATTCACAAAAATGTGACATATTTCTGAAGGGAGATGGACATTTCCCCTTGGCCTCTCCTCCCTGGCTACGCCTATAGATATATATAAAATGTATACTTTTTTAACTGTACTGGTTATGTACAACCCTTATTAAAAAAAAATTTAATGAATGGCATAACTTAAATCTAAATAGCTTGTTAATTTTTTAGGGTGGGGAAGCTTTTATAGACGGCCAAACATCCCTGATGTTTTAGTGATAAGACAAACTAGATATTCATGGAATGGTTATATAAATAATATATATTATCTGTATGTTGGAATAAAGAGCTCTGTTTAAGGTTCACATGGACAGGCGAGTTTCGTCTTCATGGGCATCGTCACTATTCGAAACTAGGATTTTCATGTTATCGATCGCTTTCACCCAGCTTGTCATCACATGTCTCGCAATTGTAAGTGGACCAAACTCCCCCATCTTTTCGTCATCGACGATGGAATGGATCTGAGCTCATCCATGTGTACTGTACCTTAAGCCATAATTTGTTGTATTATTCATAGAGGGTAATGGGCAAATTTTTACTATAAGGATGCCTTTCAAACTCTCATTGACTTTTACAACCTGCAGATGTATTCGATGATCCTGAATCCTATTACAGAGAACATTTTTAACCCTCCCTCAGCTATATAGATAAAATCAAATACCCAGAAGGCGAAATATAGATCAAATAATTGAATATGTTCTTAATATTGCAATTGATTTTATCGTAGACGGAGGTGAACCAAACCATTATTATCGAATGAGTAGATTAATAAAATTACCAGAAAAAAAATGTAATTTGCTGATAAACTTTGGTCTTTTAAATGTTCCAAAAAACGTAAAAATAGATTTAAGAATAAATTTTGAAATACCTTACACAACCCTTTATTTTATATTAAATTGTATTATAAATGTTTCGCGAAAATAATTGCATCTTATATATCTAGATACAATTTTCAAAAATATGTCAAAATTATCGGAATTTTCATATATCTATTTAGGACTTGTATCGATATCAATATCTAGATAAATTTAGAAGCATATTTTTACAATGGCTTAATAAATACCTACTATATTCACCATCCTCCAACTCTTTACTTTCTCTATATTTGTTAATTGATTCTTTCCTATATATGCCATTTTAAAAAAAAAATGAACGCGAATGTATCCATAGGCAATACACGCCTGTAAGTAGTGATGATCTACGACAGACCTATAAAGCCGACTTCGATAAGGACTACGCCTAATACCTGGCGTTGTATAAGCGGCTCAAGCACGCGTTCAGCAAGTTCGAAGCCATGCACAAAAAGCTCCGCACCTACGATAGCGATAGCAAAGATTACAAGGTATTTTTTACAAAATATTGCTGGCCCGGCCCTGAATCCGGCCCGCGTACACAAGCCGGGCCGGATTTAAATTTTTTAAATATACCCGAACCGGGCGGATATTTTTACACCAACTATTAGAGATCGCCAAATATTTAGCTATTAAAAATCAAAAATAAAAATACTATATTTTTAAAAAAAAACCGGGCTCCATGCTGGGTCTTGCAAATGTTGCATTCACTTATGGAAAAGTTTCTCCATTTTCCTAATCAGCTTAAATAAATATTGATTCCGCCAATATTTTGCTACATATGTTATTTTATCATTACCCACATTCATTTTATAAACTCTCATTTACTTTATTTAATTTTTTTGACTCCCCCCCCCCACCCATACAGTTATTAATTATGACGAAGGCCCCACCCCAACCACTTATCCGAGGATCGAATCGAGGAAAAATTAGGCGCCAGTCCACGTTCTAATTTATTTTTTTCGGTCTTTCGTCGTTTTGTAACATAGTTTAATCTATTTGTAATAGCGAATAATGATATTTATTTTCTAGACCTTTCAATTTAAAATTAAGCGGCATCCAAACCCAATAATCTCGAGGGGGGGGGGGTATAAAAAGCTTTTATCAATCTCTTTACCCCCCCCCCCCTCGCTATACCCCACCCTACCTTACACCACTATCTATCCACTATAATACGTTCAATCGAAGTTTTTGTTCCCTTCCAAACTTTTATTAAAAATGTTTTAAATTACAAAAAAAAACACAAATGTCTTTTTTAATTTTATTTTTTTTTCCCCATATAACCTCTACCTTCACCTCTATATGTGTGGATTATATTACTTGTAAATTGAGTTTTTCTAAAATAAAATACCATAACACATCATTGTTTATTAACGCTTGTGTAAAAAATGGAAAGGAAGACACAAAGAGAGCTAAGTTTTGGCGGGGAAATGCTGGCCCTCATTTTAAAACTTGTTTGTCCCTTCACTCGAATAATTTATTTTTTATATATTTTTGTGCTCTGATATTGTAAAAATAACAGAAAGAAAATATAAAATACTGAGACAAAAGGGTTTTAAAAAAAATATTGATAACTTTTTATTTTTGTAGTAACCATTTAAAAATCTTTAGAGTGTTACTCCCATGCCACCCATGTACCACTCATGGGTGAATACTTGAATTCTTCTCTTCCTTCCTAATCTTGTATGTAGAAAATAATTTAATCTTTTTTATCGTTACTCGTAATTCTTTTCATAATTTCTCTTTAAGAATAATATCAAAGAATTTTATTGTTTTAGCAAAAAAAAAAATTAAATGGAGGTTTAATTATTAGTTTTTATATTAAACTTTGCCCTTTCCTTCTCCATTCAATTTTTTATTTTAAAAGGTAACAATTTTTTATTATGCTATATATATTTTTACAATAAGGACTTAAATCGTTTTCGTCTCTCTGCCAATAATATCCCACCTATCATATGAGCTCAAAATGAATTGATTTTATATTCTCACCATCAATACGAATATAATTTTTTTTTTCCTCGAAAAATGTAGGAATACGAGAAAAAATTTCTAACGGAATATCATCAACTCGTCAATGACCCCGAGAGCAGAGAGGGGTACATCGCGAAGCGAGCTCGATTCGATTATTTGCACAGCAAGTTGGCCCACATTAAAGGGCTCGTTACGCGGTTCGACGTCCAAAGCTCTAAAAATCCGAAGAGATACAACGGTGGAAATGGCGAAAACGCCAACAAAATTAGCTAGATAATAAAAATCGCCAATTTTTGACGTCGCTCTTGGAGACATTGAGCGGAAAAATGGCCAGCAAAACGCCCGGCAGTAATAAAGGGAACACGCTTGTAGAGGCCTCTTGATACATTCGATTATAATAATCGCTACGCTTATTCAAAGTTATCCAATTGCGTTATTAAAAAAGGGGGAATCTATCCAGATGGAGGAGGGATTAACTTGGGCATATATATTATAAAGATACCTTTACCAATATATATATATATATATGCTGATTCACTTAGAATTTGATGATTGTTAATTAATGGTGTTTGATAATTATACATTTTTTTTATTCGTTAAAAAAATAATATCGAAATAATTGCTCACCCCTTCATAAAAACGAGTATTTATATATATATATATATATATATATATATATAAGTAATTATAATAGTAAATTTATATACCCTAATTTTCTATATTATTCCTATCCCAATTAATTGCTATCCTTACCTAATTGATATAACTTTTTACCTAATTCCCCGGGAAATAAAGTTTTTAAAAAAATCTACGCTTTTTTTCGAGATTTCTTGCTGAAAATTTAGGTAATTTTTTATGAAAAATCCTACATATTTTTTGCAAATTATTATTCCACTCACACATTCAAAAAAAATATTTATTGACTTCACCTCCCCCCCCCTCACGCCATACCAAGATAAAAAATGTTCATAAAATTTTATCCCAAATATTTTCAATTTTAAAAATTATTTTTACAATTTTTTTGTTATAGCACAAATCGTATAACTATGACTAGAGCATTATATCAAAATAGCTTTTTTTAAAAATCTAATATATTATTCTTATAACATCCATATCCTACCTCTAAAATAATAATGATTAAATAATAGATTTTTATAAAGGTTTTAAATTTTAAAAAAAAATGCAATTAAAAATATTAAGGTTTTTATATTCATTATTGACTTCACCTATACCCATCTCCCCTCA